CCTGTAACTAACCAAACAGGGGTTAGTTACAAAAGCTGTAGTTATAGAAGGATGCAGCTGTTGCTAGAACCATTAAAAAGCAGGAAGGGAGTGAGGGGAATTAATATGTTGACTTCTCTCGCCTATAGCCCTCCAATCTCTTGCGTCTCCCGTTGGCCAAAGCTAACAATAATGGGATCTCAGGTGAAACAGTCATGAAGGTCAGTCCTCCAGGGCTTAGAACAAGACAGGAAATGGAGGAGCATGGGTCTGGGGCACACCAACTTTACACAACTAGAATGCAGGAAGGTCAGGAGTCAAAGTCAGGTACATGATGCCTTAGTCACTGCTTTTATGTATTCCTCTACCATATATATTGCAGGTAGTTGGTAATTATTTGTTTAATGAATAAATTTTCAGGTGAAAATTGAAGAAACTGAGGTTAGGAGTTTATATATCTTAACTTTAGGAACCAGAGCCCTAGCTATCCTGAAACCAACCACCTCCTTGTCTATAACCCAATGATTGCTCATTTGATCAAACATCACTCACTCCTTGGATGTAATGGGTTTCTGTCACAGTAAAGGTTTTTGTGTCAAATTTAATGATTCTCATGTGGGAACACTTAGAACTTAGTGTCATATTGCAGACTTATAGTGCTTATTGATCCAGTACTTCTAGCCCTTGGGATGGACAAGGACACCCTTGAGTCCTCATTCTCCTTCAGGATTCCCACCCCAAACACCCATCACCAATAAAAATAAATCTTTTATTTGCTAGAAATTGAATAAGAAACGAATAAGGCAAGAATGTTTCTTAAAACCTTGAATAATTGTTATCTAAAACTGACTTTCAATGTAGGTACCAGCAATGTCCCCAAGGAAAAAGAAAAACCGCCTCTCTATTAATCAGTGTTCAGCCAGGAAAATAGAAACATCTCAAGGTACTTCACATAGAGGGAATTAAACATGGAATTAGTAACAAAGGTCTTGAAATGTGTGGAAGAGCAGATGGAGCAAGTTGACCCTATGCCCCACATTCTCATTCACAAATGGGTTCAGTAAACATGGGTTGAATCTATTATAAAATTTAGGAAGAGCACAGGCTCTGTTGGAAACCATTAGCATACCTGTATGACTCCGATAATTCAGTAGGTGTGGATATGTAGTTTGGCCTTTGGTAGAAAATCATGTTCAAAGCCTTCTGTTCAAACCTGTCAAGGGATGATAACACCTATTAGGTGCTAGGGACTATAAACACTTTTCTCTGAATTTTAAGTTATTGACTTAACATTTATGATAACTCAATGATAATGGTACATTGTTTCCCATTTTACGGATGAGATGAGATTGAGTCAAAGAGCTATTATGTGACCTGTCTAAAATAATACAATATGCTCAAGTGATGAAAGTTTAGCTCACCTATCTACCTTTATTTCCCCATTGTATTGTGGGGAGGAAACCAGCTATTCTCCCAACCTGTTTCATCTCTGGGTCCACAGGAACTATGTTTTCCAGACCTTCACTGTGGTTATTATAGCTATGTCACCAAGTTCCTGAGAGGAATGTAAGCAAGGTGATGTGCATCACTTCCTGGCCTGGCCCATTGAGTCTTTCACATGGTATTATATGTTCTTTCTGCTTGAGGAAAATGAACATGGTGAGCGTGGTGCCAAATTTTGAAGAGCTGGAGCCACAAAATGGAAGAAGGCTAGAACCCTGAATGTTGCTTGGAGAAGAGTGAGACAACAATCAGGGACATGTGTGTTAGACTTTAAGTGAACAAGAGATACTCTTCTATCAACTTTGTGCCATTATATGTGTTGATGTTGTTTTGTTATAGCAGCTAGCGTTACCTTAACTGACACATATGTGAACTGAACTGATCCTCACTATTGTTCCTGGGTTTAGTACATATTTTTCATTAAAATTCTCAATTATTTACATCCTAAAAATTATTTAATGCATAAATAAAGTCCAGTTGCCTTCAAGCAGTTCTATTCCATTCCCATCAGCCACAGTGATATCTCTTTTTCTCAACTTCCTGTATCATTTACTTCCCTCTGCCTCTTATATCATAGCTCCAATTTTGGATGTCTTGTTTTTCCAATGAGATTGTGAGCTCATCAAGGTCAAGGATCATGTTTTTATGCTTCTTGTCTGACTCTGAGGTGCATAACATGGTGTTAATGTTTTGGGAATTTTCAATAAATATTTGTTGGGAAAATGAGTTTGTAAATACATTAGGCTCAATAAAATCCATTTTCCTAAAAACAGACCTTCATTACTCAGGCAGGAAAGCATATACACTATAATTTACTGCAGTGGGTGTTTTTATTATTCTCTTCACTAATATACACATTCTAACACTTTCTGACAACTGCTTAGAGGAGACAGAAGGCATACTTATCAAATTTCAGATGACACCATATGAGAGGCAATAAATAATGCACGAGATGGCAGAATCAAAACTAGACAAGCTGGAATGAAGCAGGTAACATTTAATAGGGGTGAGTATGAATTTAGATTTTAAAACCCAGCAACCCAACTTATATATGGTTAATATCAATTTTTAGGGAAAAATGTTCAGGTTTTAATGTTTCAGCTTGGTTGCAAAGCTGAAATGAGCCCAAAGTTGCATACAAGTCTCTGTTCATAGTGAGGCCGATGACTGGGCTCAGGGTACTGGGTGTCAGCCAAAGCATTCAAGCATTAACAAGTCAAGCATGAATGAAGGTTGCTCTGTAGAGGCAAACTGGAGGCGGATGGAGCTTTATTTTAATTTTGAGTAAAGGGGTAAACAAGTGTCCATATTTTTTTTACCTGGGCAAGCTCAGCACACGGGTCAACTTTTACCTGTAGCATTAGTTGGAATGCACTGTCCGATGATACCATTCAGTGATTTGACACTAGATTGGTGCCAATAGGGCAGCCTGGGTCCCCTTAATTTGCACTTCAGAAGTAGAACCTAGTAGAAAGGTTTGCTATTTTCCTTTTGGTCCATTCCCCAGTGTCAGGGTTAGAGCTGTCCTTCACCTAAGAGCCTTAATTTATGACAGTAATTTATCCACATAACCTGGATAAATTTAAGTTTTACCCTTGGAAGAGGGGAGAGAAGGCAGATCCCAACTTCTCTGGGCTCAGCTGGGACCACTGTTTCACCATCCTCACCATCCTAGATCTGCTCCTAGAAACCCTTATTTCTTCAAAACTGGGATCAGAGTTCTGGCAAGAAGGCTATGATGACCTTTTCCTTGGCACCAAACCACCAAAAAGAGCAAATATAATATCAGTCCGTGTTCATAGAAGCCTAGCATCTGGAACAAAGGATTTTCTGTAGTCTGTGTGGCATCAGACCACACAGGAAGAATTGTGGGTTTTTTGCTGATAACATGATTTTAAAAGATTACTGGTGTAATCCTTCTTCAAAGGGAGGATGACCAGAATGTTGAAGGGACTTAGAAACCAAATCACTAGTTATTTTTTGGTGGTTCAGGCTCAAGACCTGGAAGGTGTTGAGATGGTGGGTGGGAAGGAGCATGAGGCAGCATATCCTATCTTCAGACAGGAGAATGCTATGAAGAATACTGGTCTGTTGGGTCATGCCAGGAGGCAGAACTCGAAGGAGTTGGATATAAGCCCCAAATGGTAACATTTTTAACAATGTTGCTCTTCAAAAATGGAATATACTTTGTAAGTAACTGAGGTTTAAAACATCCAAGGTAAGGTCCCATAACTGTGGTAGATGTTTCAGCTGTCATTCAAGAACATGTGTAAGGGAAGTTGGATGAGAGGGTTTCCCTGGTCCCATTCAAATCTAAGGTTCTATGGTCTAATCAATCTTTAAATTAGAAATGTTCTACAGAATATGAGGAAAGAAGATTATTACCTGAGGTTCTTTTGTAATTATAACCTGGTTTTTGAAATGGATATTTCCCTCAAAAAAGGGAAAAAGAAAGAAAAAAGAAAGAAAGAAAGAGCATAACCCCGGGGTTATTTAATCCTTGATATATGAGAGAGGAAAATAGAAGGAAGGGAAAGGCACTCCCGAAGGGGTATGGTAAAAGGAGCCCTTTCCAGGGACCACGGCAATCCCACAGAGGTGTACAGGCCGAGAACACTCAATGACAAGAATTATGATGCTACACAACCTGCACAAGGCGAGCTCAGGTCTTTATTGGATAAAGCACGCTTGGTCTTTGCCTCCCTCTCTCCAAACAGACATGCAAGAATCACATTGGCCAGGAGAGAGGGGATTGTCCTTGAAACACTGTTGCGTTTCTATGTCTCTTTTTGTCTCTTTGTATGGGTTTCTTGAACACTTCCTTTTTCTCAAAGACTAGAATAAATACAATTTTTAAATCATATTGAGTCTCACGTGCTGGAAAGGGGTCGTCAAGGTATTGTGGACTTGCATGAGAAGACAGATTCTCACCCAAAGAACCGGGAGGGTGGGGGGTTAAGGGAGAACACATACTGGGCTACCCATGAACAGGAGAGCAGGCAAAGCGGTCAAAGTATTTAACCCACAAAATAACTCCAACCAAGAAGCCCTCCGGTCGCTCCGGCTCCCCCGTTGCGGCTCCCCAAGTGCCCCTAGGAGGAGATGCCGAGTGTGCACCTGAGGCAGGACGCAGGTGAAGTCAGATCTGGGTTCGGCGACCATGGGCCGAAGCGCCCCGGACCTGCGCCCACCTCCGGCGGTGCTCCCCGCCTCCCGCAACCCCGCTCTGGGCGCGGGCCTCGCCACTCCCCCGCCCCCGGGGCCGCCGCGCACCGGGCGCGCGGGGTGGGCGCGGGCTGCGCGGGCCGGCGCCCCGGGCTCTGGGCATGCTCAGTGCGCGGGCAGGGCTGGGCGGGAGCGGCGCCTCCGCACACAGTGCCTGCCTGGCCGCCGCCGCCGGAGCCGCGGGCGCTCGCAGCTGGGCACGCGCCGCCCCGGAGGAACCACCGCCGCCGCCTCCGCACCTCCCAGCCGCCGCCGCCGCCGCCGGAACCTCCCTCCCTCCCGCCGCTGGAGCCATGGCCGCGCTCGGCCACCCCGCCGCCTTCGGCCGGGCCACCCACGCCGTGGTGCGGGCGCTGCCCGAGTCGCTGTGCCGGCACGCGCTGCGGAGCGCCCAGGGCGCCGAGGTGGATTTCGCCCGCGCCGAGCGGCAGCACCAGCTCTACGTGGACGTGCTGGGCAGCAAGCTGGGGCTGCAGGTGGTGTCGCTGCCGGCCGACGAGAGCCTCCCGGACTGCGTGTTCGTGGAGGACGTGGCCGTGGTGTGCGAGGAGACGGCTCTCATCACCCGGCCCGGGGCGCCGAGCCGGAGGAAGGAGGTAACTGCCCGCCTGTGCCCCCGCCGCCCGGCGCCGCGGGGGCGCGGCCGGGGACGCGCGGCCCGGGGATCGCGGAACCGGCCCCCGGGCTAGTTCACAACTTCCCTTTCGGGGACGAGGGAGGGTGTGTCCCCGCGAGTCCGGGAGAAAGAGAGAGAAGTTCATTGTTCACGCCTCCCACGGCCGGGCGGGAGCAGCTCGGGCGCCTCGGAAGGGACCCGAAGGAGTGGGGGGTGGTGGTGCGCCTCAAGCTGGTGGGTGGGGTGGGAATCCATCTCACCAGCAGGTTTATTTGTGAAGATTACAGAGCAGGGAAGACAATACACAACTCACGGCGTTTCCCAGCGGGCGGGGAAGGGTGCCGCTCCAGGCTGGGCGAGGGCTCCGGGGGCCAGCGCCAGGTGGTGACACTGGACCCTCCAAGTTCTGCCTGGAGCTGGGCGTCGGGCGGGGCCCAATGAATGAACCGGGTGCAGGTGCCTACAGACCGAGGGCGTCCCAAGTTACTTTTCAGCGGTGGAGAGTGAGTCCTCAGGAAGGGACTGCCGAGTGAATGAATGAAAGGAGAGTGGTTTGTTGGCTAACTGGAGTCAAATGTGAGAATGAAATAGATTAGACAGAAAAGCTATCCTTTCTGCTTTCCCTGTGTGCTGTGTGTGTGTGTGTGTGTGTGTGTGTGTTGTTTAATTAGAAATAGTTGTTTGACATATTGCATAATTTTATTTTCAATATTTTTGGACTCATACCAAATGAGAGCTTTTTGTGTTCTCAAGGGATGGGGACTACTTTAAAATATTGCAGCTTGTGAAAATGGCTGTGATCGCTTTAAACACAAGGTAGGCTGGTGGGAAGGGACAAGGAGAGTGAGATTGGATTTTAAAATACCATCTGTCCTGAGATTCTTCTCATTGCCCTCTGAGAGCCCAGGCTGAAGACGCTGTGTTGCTGTTGGCATCAAGTGGCATTGCAAAAAGCTAGTGCCTTCTTTTGTATCTGGAGGGGTGGGGGGTTTTGCCCCCCCTTCTTGTCTTTATTCAATTCATATTGCAAGTGCCTCACAGGGCTTATTCTACAACATGCTTCACTACTTGGTTGTAGAACCGTACATGTTCCGAGAGAATAAAGCATATTCTATTTACTTGGCAGTGAGGTAATTAGCTTTTGTCACCCTGCCTTTGCAGAAAACCAAAGGAATAACAGGTCTCATTCTCATAGCTCTTTTATCTCCGTTGCCACACCTCTCCATCTTTGAGTCTGTGAAGTGACCCCTCTGTTTTAAAGTGGTAAGCATGGACTCCTTTTGATTACTTCCTAGAATATCCTAGGCCATATGGCAGAGCTGAGGTTTGTATGTAAGAGTAAAATATATTTTTAAAATCCTTAAAAAGTCATACTTATTGGATGAGCATAGTAGTACAAATTTCTGTTGAGACTGTCACATATTTAATCATCCATTTTGTTTTATTCTTATAACACAACCTTCCAAATTTTGACCTTCCTGATACTAAAGTGGGCAGTGATTTTTCTCCTCGGTCAGATTTCTGAGGTATACATTTTAAATGGACTTTATTCTTATGTCAGCCTGGTGATCTACTGCTAGAGGCCACATAGTGTAGTGGATAAAAACATCAGACTGTATCTAATTCTGTGACCTGTGTGTGTGTGTGTGTGTGTGTGTGTGTGTGTGTGTGTGTCTGTGTGTGTATGTCTCCTGCCTCAGTGTTCTCACCTGTAAAGTGGACATAATCAGACATACCTATTTCATAGAGTTGTAGTGAATTCATTAATCCACCTGAAATGCATAGGACAGGACATTTCACGGATGTTGGTTATTGTTCCATGGGAGGTTTACTCCTTCCGGAGTAGTAAGAGGTCTAACGTGCACCGGGTGACGGGGAGTCATCCTCACACCTTAGGTTCCCTCCTAATCTGCTATGTAGCACTGCTTCCCAGCTTGAGTTTCCTGCTGGCGTGTGGTCTCTGCCACTGCACATGACCTGGATCGCCAAAGTAACAGCCCTTCCAGCCAAGCCATTTTGGATGGGATGCTGGAAAACAGGCCATGCAGAGTAATGAGCTCTCTTTGAATCTCTCAGAGCACAAGTTTGCTGTCCTCCTGGTTGGTGTGAACAAATGCTTGTTAAGTAAGTGAATGAATGAAATGCTATTTAGCTAATACAAACATTAAGGTCCTTGTTGGATTGCTATATATATATATATATATATATATATATATATATATATATATATCACATTAAAAAATATATATATATATATATTTTAATGTGCCACCTGCCTCCTTAACTGTGAAATTCCACAGCCAAGACATTATTTTAAAATTATCATCACAGAACCCCTTACCTCCTGTCTTCTCACTTTGCATTCCATTCTCCAGATGGCGGCCAACCTGGTCTTTCTAAAACTCAAATCGATCTTGTCCCTCCTGTGATTAAAAGTCTTGAGGGGTCTTTAGTGAACTTGATAAGCCCATGAGCTTAGCTCTGCCTTTCCAGGTCCAGCTGCACCTCTGACCCCACCTCAGGTGCCTCGTATTGCTTTCCTGGATATGCATTTCTCCTTTGCCCAGGACCATCTCCCTCCTCCCTCTCCTCCACTTTACCTGTTTGTACTTATGCTTCAGTTCTCCGCTTATTGTTGCCATTAATATTATTAGCTAATCTTTATTGGGTGCTTGCCATTTACCAGACATGCTGCCAGATTTATGATATGCATTTCAATGAATGCTCACACCAATCCTTTAAGCTCAACATAGCATTATTGTTATTTTAAAGCTGATGAAGTTGAGGCTTAGAGAGATTAAATAAGTTGGCCAAGGTTATAGATTGAAGCGAGGGAAACCAGGATTTGAATTCAGGTTTGCAGGACTCTAAAGCTCTAGTCCCAATCACTAATATTAGACATTACTTTCCCTTTTATGAGCACCTATAACCTTCTGTACTCCCTTTTATGGTACTTATCATACCACATAGTAATTGCCTGTTTACCTTTCTATATCCCCCACTATTATAAAAATTGTGAGGGCAGGGAGCACGTCTGTATTGTTCAACGTTTTTAAAATATATATTTTATTGATTTTTTACAGAGAAGAAAGGAGAGGGCCAGAGAGTCAGAAACATTGATGAGACAGAAACATTCATCAGAGCTGCCTCCTGCTTACCTCCTACTGGGGATGTGCCCACAGTCAAGGTACATGTCCTTGACCGGAATCAAACCTGGGACCTTTCAGTCCACAGGCTGCCACTCTATCCATTGAGCCAAACCAGTTAGTGCTTGTTCAACATTTTAATCCCAAACCTTGCACCCAATAGTCATGCAATAAACATATTTTTGAATAGATTTGTCCATGATTTTAGATCAGCTTTAGTTTTATCCTTATTATGACATATTTGGTGCTTTGCAAGCATCCCCAATCAGTGGAGTGACAAAAGTTTCATTACAAGGATAGGTTTTTCTCCCTTTCCTTTCCTCTGCCTCTTTTTTTTGTTTGTTTGTTTTTATAAAATTTCTGACAAGTCCCTTCTTAATCAAAACATCATGTTATGTATAATGACTTTTCTTCCTTGGAAGAAAGGAGCAAGTACAGAACTCAAGAAAGTAATCCTTCTATAAAAGCTCTGTGTTTGCCACAGTGGGGTCTCCAAAGGTTAATGAAGCACAGGCTCTGTCTGCAGGAAATTCTGGTTTTAGTGAAGAAATTGTATACACAGAAAGTCATCAAATGTTAATTGTCTAATAACTTTGTGTCTTCAGGAATATGAATATTTTAATATGTTTAGTACTTTGGAAGCAAACACATTAGCCTTGATAATCCAATTATTATTTTAAATGAATCCAACTTACTTTGTAGAGGAAAAAAGGTCAACTTCTAAATGTCCAAGTTCTGTTAACAAATATCTAAATGATGAAGTAAAGTAAGTGACGGGGTGTGAGGATTGGGGTGTGGTTTTTTAACTAAAAATTTGGAATAGATTATACATGCCTGAAGTACCAAATTCAAAAGGCACAAGAATATCTGCATTGCAAGTTTGTCTGGGCCTCCTTACCCAACTCTTGTACCTGACTACCCAGCTTCTTCCCACAGAGGCAACTACTAATACCACTTTCTTCATTTTCCTTCTGGAAGGTTTTTAATGCCTAATACATGATTAATTGGCAAAGCTTACTCAAGCAAAATGGTGAAATATATCCTATGCCCCTTTGTCCTTCTTTCACAGCTCTTTTGTCCTTTCCCAGGTACCAATATTATTATGTTAGATATTCTGTCTAGGGAAAAAACCACACACACAAAGGGATAATGCCTTTAATTATCCTTTCCTGGAGCATTTGCATTGTTAGGGACGTCTATACGAATAAGGCAGTTCTTAGTACAAGGTAACAAATTCCCATAGTTGAATTAGACGAGGGAGAGTGTTGCATAGGGACATAAGTGGAAGAGGTGAGCAAATACATATTTGTATAGAAATTACCCTTCTGTTGGGGTCCTTGACTCTTCAGACCTACCTATTTAGTCCTGAGTTTGTTCTTTGGTTAGGAAAAAGCATAATTACACTGATTCCAGAGGCAAGAGAGCATCAAGACCGTGTCTAACATTTGCCAAGTTCTGTGTGTGAACCCCAAAAGGTGCTAAAAACCACTAGCTCTACTTAAAAGTTAAGAAAACTGAGACTCAGGTAACTATGGTTAAGTAACGTGTCCAAAGTCACACATAGCTAATAAGTGGCAGAAATGAGGTTTTCATAAGAATGCAAAGGTCATTTTTGCTTGAAATCCTTATTCCCAGTTGTGGTTAATCATAACAAAAGGTTAAATCAATATAAAATAATCAACAAAATCCCATTTCACAAGCTAATAATATGTAATCTAACTTGGATATTAACTAAGTAAATTATTTTAGAGTCTCTTCTCTCATAAAGTATAATAGTTTTTTCCCCCAAATTAGTTAAAAATAATAATTCAGTCATTTACACGAAACCCAAAAA